GGGATCGGTGGTCGATGGTGGGGGTTGGATGCCCCGCCTTGCTGGAAGCAGAGAGCTAGACGCGGACCTGGGAGCTTGCTGGTGCACCGAAGACCTAGGTCGAAACCGGTGGTGGTGGCGGGTGGTGGAGACGCGCTGTCAAGTCGCCGATAAGAGATCCAGGAGTGTAGCTCGGCCCGAGTTAACACGGCGTAGAGACAGTGTCGATGGAGAGCAACGGGGGCGACACGACGTCGAGTCGTGATCCAAGACCGTATACGATTTCGAAAGACGAAATAATAGGACTGCTTCTTATGGATGCCAATAGAAAGGATGAGGAGTAATTAATATGCGTCAAGGGCAGAAGCGCTGACGGGGAGCAAGACGTCAAAGTGGTGGGTGTGGACGACGCGGGGTGGAGGGGCGTAGGTTTTGGAGGAGAGTAGATGGGAGTCGGAAAGGAAGAAAAGCAGCAAGAGAACGAGGAATGAGGGGCTCTCTTGTACGATCCTGAAGAGCCCGAGCCCATTGCGTGTAGGTAGGTAGACAGGCACCAGTAGAGGGAAGCACGACTTTCGTTCGTTCCGAGGTACTTCTCCTCTGCGTCCTGTTGACGCCCCCTTCCCAAGCCAGTGCAGTGCGAGCGCAACGTTGGGATGGATGTTCTTTCCCAGGGCACCTCGTCGACACCGTAAACTTGAACCGTATCACCATGTACCAGAGTACCTATCTTTGGGTTGGCTGGCGGTGGAGTGGAGGGGCCTGCGGACGGGCAGGACATGTCGACACGCACCTGCAACGTGAACCAGCCCGCCCCCTCCCTGCCCTTCGATTGATCCTCACCTCATCTCAACTCGAACTGGAGAGGCCAGGGGAGATACCGCCCGCCCGTGCATGCACTTGCAGCTGTCACTGGAAACAGTCCGTCGACGGTGATTGTGCCCCAGCAAGGCCCAGGGGACCTGCTGGCACTGCCCGGCCCAGTGTTAGTGCTGGTACTGGTGTTGAGATGGCGTCCGTGTCCAAGCTCAAGCTCCCTGGTGTGAAGCGCCAGCTCGATGGCAAGAAAGAAGGTTGTCCCGCCATCGAGTCCAAGCCACGGTCCATCTCCACGCAAACACCCACCCACCATCCCCCCCCCCTTTCTGCTGACCGCTGCCGTCTCTATTTTTTTTTCTTCTGTGCGCCCTTCTACAGTTCTGCCCATGGCGACGAGAGCGCGAGTCAATTAACGCATTCCCTCTGCTCTCAGAGCTTCTTGGCAAAGATCTGAGCCTCGCCCAGACTCTAAAGTCTCGGGCTTATGCTGCTGCTGCTGCTGCTGGTGATGATGAGACAAGACACATGCCGCCAGCACATGGAACAAATGAGACTGCCCCGCGCCGGCCATTGGCCAACCACAGTGCACTGATCACGAAGCTCACCACTCTATTGCTGGCCCCATTGACAAACAGCTTTTGGTTCTTGCGAGATTGTTGAGTCAATCAGCACAAAAGGCTGAACACAACATGACAATCAAGTCGCCTGCACGACCTAAACGGAAGGACGTAGGAAAACGGTCACCTAGCGCAAACGGAGGTGGCACGACACAGCTCTCCTCCATCGAGAAGGGTACTTACTGCCACATCTGAGGGTGCGTGAGTGCAGACAAATGTCGGCACATGCAAAACTAAACCACGACGAACCCCGGACGAGATCGTGCATCCAGATCGCGGGATCCAAGAGAATACCCCAAGCGACAATCCCTCGGTACCGAGGATAAGACGGCTTTACCTGCCGCGTGCTTGCGTGCTCTCCCACCTTCCCGGGGTCGGATCTGGGGAAAGCATCCATTCAGAGGCTCATGAGCGGCGAACAGGTCGAAGACGACGACTCGGGAGAACTCGACGCGATAGTCCTGTTCCTGACTATTTTCGCCCTGCGGCCTGCTTAAATGCGGGGTGTGGGCTGCTCTCCCACGCTGCCAGCCTGTCGGTCGTCAAGCCGATGCTTGCCCTTCCGTGTTGCTCCGATGTGCTTCTCGTCCGCCCGGTGCCAGGCCCTGTCAACACGGGAGATGCCTCCAGTTTTCCGTGTTGGACCGAGAATTAGATGCCTCTTTCGGCGGAGGATGAAGCCGGCCGGGACATCCATCATGGTCCAATGTTGTCGACCTCCATCGCCATCGCCAGTCCCGGGCGGGAGGTGATTCACGACGGAGGAGGGCCCACGACCGTTTCGTCCCGCCGTTTTCTCTTTTGCCCTTTCTTGTGTCCGTCGCAGCCTCCCACCTTGTCGATAAGGTACGTACCTTTCAAGACGCTGCGCTGTTTTCTGCCATCGGACTTTTGATTTCTGATTGTTCATTGCTGTTGCTAACCCCTCTCTCATCACCGGTCGCGTCGAAACCGGAGCCCGCCAAACCTCCACGAAGGGCCTTCGTCAGATGGCTCAGGGTGCGGGGATAAATCATCGTCCTCCCACGCCGGCCCTGTCGCCGCACGTCGATTGGCCCGACCCCCAGGTCATTGTCTCGTTAGTCAGGGTGAGGAGCACACCGTTACGTCGCTGTAATTCTTCCGCCGCCGACCTCGGCAGAGCCGTGACGACGCCATAGCCGCTCGTCCGCTGCAGATACGTGAACGAGAGATGACTTTCTTTGACCACTACACCCCAATGGTCTCTCAAGCCAGGGTGGGGACACTGGGCTAATTCGGTCATGTTACACGAGTGTTTTATTCCCGTGAGTATGACTCCTGGCTGTGCGGATATCCAAGGTTAGAACAGGCATTTGCAACCCGTCCGTCGTCCGTGTGAGAGTCGACGACACCCCCAAGATGGTTCGTGGCTTTTTCGAGCAAACGCGCGCCAAGCCGTACCGCCCTCTCGTCCACTTCGGTGGGGGGTTACCGAAGGGCCCTGAGCTGCCCACCCCCCTTGGGTTTCGGTGTGATTATGTGGCGACGTCTATCTTTGGGTAGCGCGGTGGATAAGGTTGCTGTTTGGCTCGTGACAGTGAAACGAAGCATGTCTTCGGGCCTTGCCCCCGAACTCTCGTTTCGAGGTGCCAATGGCCCGAAATAGCGAGCCGAGATTTTGCCCGCTCGATGAGCTTGCGAGATCCGCCGTTTCGTTTCGTGCAACGAAGGCAGGTGGGGGTTGGCACGGTCGGTGACTGTCTGATATTCATCCTTGCTCCGGGCCACAGCTTGACCTGCGGCAGCTTGTAGGCCGCTCGCTCCATCCTAATCTCAGATCGGCAGTCCAAGCCACCACCATGTCCAGATGGATCCGACTTTCCCCAAAGCCATATCCCGACAAGACCAACAAAAGTGTTGTCAAGGACCACGTCCTCGATGATGAATGATGGGCACGCCTCATTCTACATTGTCTGTCATGCCAGGCAGATAGGATTTCTACAGGCAGAGGTAATGTCAGAGGTGATAATACATGATGGCCCTCTCTCTCCCCCATGCTGTCCAAGGTGCCCTTTCTGCGATCATCCAGCTCGATCCCTCGTTTGTCCATCTCAAGCCTTTCCCTTGTGCCCCAGATATCGGGGCTGCAGCGCGTCCGCAGGCCCATCTGCCGCAAGCCATTTCGCGGCTGGTCTCTCTGTCCCTCTCCCCCACACCCCACGCGGATCGATCGTCTGCGGACCCCCGTATTAGGAAGACCGCAGTAGCCGCATCTTTTCAGTACGCTCGTCCTTCGTTCATGGTAAGGAGGCAAAAAGGGGTATATATCTATTTGCCCAGGGCCTCCTTGACCTTGCCCTCGACCTTGGTCTCGACAGCCACGGCCTTGTCCTTGATCGCCTCGGCCGTCTCCTTGACGTTGCCTCCCGCGGCAGCGCCAGCTTCCTTTGCCTCCCCCACTTG